CTCAACGAGGACTAGTACATGCATTTGTTGTTTAAAAAATGCCTTCAACTTTCTGCGCGATTACAAGCTTGTAGCAATCCTTAATCGATATTTGTGAAAGGCTCACCATTTTAATGACCTTTGGGCTAGTAGGGGTAGCGGTAGCCGTAGCGGTAACCGTAACCCTTTCCTTTTTTTGGGTAGTAACCCTTTCGGACACGATATTTACGGTAGGCTTTACGGTAGCTTTTCTTAGGTTTTTTTCGGTAGAGTCCTTTACGGTACTTGCGGTAGCCTTTTCCTTTCCTATACAAATAACCTAGAATAAATACGGAAAAAAAAATACTTTAGGCCATTAATATCAAACGATATCAAACGATGTCTAATATTATAATGATGTTGCTTAATTATATCTTAGCAAGATGGAAACAATAGCCTCTACTTGGCGTGAAAATATACAGAGATATTTATCCTCGGACATTATCTGTTTCAAGATGCGAACAGAGCGAATCTCGAGGAAACCTGCGAACTTCGAGGAACAGATAATGTCCAGGGACAAATATACGAGTTCATTTTCGTGTAAAATAGAGGCTTTGTAATCATCATCCTTCAAACGTTTTGCAGCGCGCGCGGGATGTTTTTTTTTTTAACGTTCTCCAGTAAGATTTTATAAACAAACAGATAATTCCCATTTTCTGTTACAACTATAAAACGCTACATTGTTATATAATTAAAAACTATCAGTTGGGTGATATCCTTGACTATCCCCCAGTTTTAGGTGGGGGATATTCGGTCACCTGACCGAATATCAATCGTGCGCGAGCAAGAACGTTTCAAGGATCATAAATCAAGATATAAGATCAAGATGTAGGATCAAGAAATGTTGAATAATTTTACCATATTTCTTTTTTGACTTTCTTGGCACCGGTCTTGGATCCTCAGAAACTTCTTCTTCATCTGATGGAACAAAAAAACATAACATCTGGTTGGAAAGTGTTTTTCTTACAGTTTACCTGATTGATAATTGTGTCATCATGTCCTACGTAATTAATCTCTGTTTCCAACGAAATAAATCGCCCAGTAATTCCTATGATAGGACAAATTCAGGCATGACAGGATCCTTTCAGTATAATCAGTGTTGTGAGCAGTATTCTTTTCCTTGATTCTTATTTGCGATTGAAACAAAAACCTCGCAAGAGTTGAGCTTTTGTTCCTTCCCATACTGCATCTCATACCAACTTTTAACTCTTGTCAACCAAAACCTGCTTAAAAAACATGGTTGATGCAGAAAATGACCATTTTAAATCACCCTTGTTTCTCCTAAACGATTCTTTCACGAGTTCCTTCCCGATGAGTAGAAAAATTCCAAACTCTCGCCATTGACATAATGACTTGAATCTCATCTCCGAAGCGAATAAAGAACTCGGTTTTCTTGGTAACTAAATTTAATGATCAACTCTTGCCTGTCTCTTCGTCTTCATCGTTCATTTCTTCTAATTCCTTAGCATCTCTCTCGTTTTCTTCATCTCTTAATTCGTCAAATGCTTCATCCTCATTTTCCGGCTCCTCATCATTCTCTCCGTCAAATTTATCAGAGGCAGTATCGAAGTCTTCGTCATTCAGATCCTCAACTTCTTGGGCTATTTTAGGGCGTAAAAATAAGGCAAAAAACTGATTAAAGGTGAAAATTAAAGTAGATTACGCTGGTTTTTAATTTAAATACAGCCAGACAGGTAATTAAGTGGAGAAAGTCTCGGCACTTCCTTGGAGACTTAGAGTTGCTTTCTTATCCACGTTCGTGAGAACTGTATTGAAGATAATTCTTATGAGTATTCTTTTATTTTCTGGTAGAACTTTTTTTTAGTCAGGTTTCAAAAAATAGCTAAGTAGCTTCTTAAACTGATCTGAGGAGCATCTAGGCAAGGAAAGAAAGAGTACTTAGTAAAAGTAACACCACTGGACTGATAGAAAAAGGAATGATCTAAGAAAAATAATCATGCTCTCATAATTTTGATCCAATACCTTCCCGCTTTTCCGCCAGGTAAGAGGCTGTACAGGCTCCAAGAAGGAAACAGCTGATCAACAAAAGTTTCATCTGCATGGCTGAATCCGTTTAAACTCCGGCCAGAGAATGGCTATGGCGACACCCTCATCGGTCCATTTATGGGTTTCATAGAGATGCCAATACTGTAGAACCAAAACTCAATACATTACATTGCATGCTTTGCATGAAATCAACTAAGGGAGGATGAAAAATAGGTAAATAAAATTAGTATTTTATGGTGCCATGGGTGACAAGACAAAGGCATGGAGGTGTCGACAATATAATTCTTCAAGCACTCTTAAGAGTCTAAGGCTAAAAATAGAGAGGTTGACCTTGAAGTTAGTGCGCACGGCAGACAATAAACTGTATCAATAACAATTCTACGTAACAACACTATGAAACAGAAGCCTTTGAGGTCGGTATAAAGTTGTGATACGATATGTCCCTGCTTTCGTTTTGATTGATTTGAAATCTCAGCCGAAAATCGAACTTCTAAATTAAGGACAGTTATATTTAGAGTTACGAATACGCCGATTTGATGCTATATTGTTGGACAATTGTCTCGTCCGATATTTCTAATATTTTGTCCCGCGTAAATTTGATAATAGGGTCTCACTGATTAGGATCTCGATGAAATGGCCTTCTGCTAAATATGTAGTTATCCAGCTCTTTTCTTAGGGTTGAGCGTGTAGCCAGGATGAATGGCTAACAGTCAACAGGAGAAACAAAAACGATTCTAGGGAAAAAGGCTATTATACGGGAGTCCTATAAGTAAAATAATAAGATAAATTATAGAATTTTGACAGGAGAAGGGGTAACATTATTAAAATATCAGACAAAATTGACTTGCTCCTTGAATATTGCAGTCAAAAAGAGTAAAACTGTTGTCACTCAGTTTTAATAAGAGAATAGTTTAAAGAGCAACGTCTGAAAGAGCTACTGAATGCTTTATAATGCTTGACAACAACGTGAGGAGCAAACAAATTAGTGGAGAGCCAAGTGCGTAAAATTAGATCTATTACTAGATTAGTACTTAGGTCTATATGGAATACATGTAACAATATTTCCGTTGATCACTTCTGTGTTGGGATATCAACAACGAAAATGATCAGAAGAGCATGTAAGTGTGTATAAAAGGAAGTTTTAACTTTTCTGACTGAGATAATGTTAAGAAAGCAAGGTCTACAATTGATGACGGAAACCAAGTGCTTTCGCTGGAGAGTAGTTATCATCGATCACGGACGAAAAGGAATATCCAAATCAAGAACCGGACAATACGGTTTCCAGGAACTGATAAGATTTTCCAAAATTATCCATTAAGTTGTCATTCACCTTGAGAGTGTTCAATATTTATTGAAGTCTGACTCTGGGGAATTTTTCAGATTATAAATTCTCACGATTTTCCTTCATTGCAATGTTAAAAGCATTTTCTCGTAACTTTCACTTCGCAGCACCATTCCGAGATTTTCTACCAAGAACAGTCAATAAAGGTATATCGCCCATGTTATCGCACCTCCACCGTGCTGCGGAATTAGTTTTTCTTTTGTACATAAACTGAGCCAAGAACCGTACCATGATA